CCCCCCCCCCCCCCCCCCCCCCCGCTTCCACTCTCTCTAAAAACTCGATGGGAAAAAATATCCTCTGGTGAGAAGGGAGGGAGGGAGGGAGGGAGGAAGGAAGGTCTTTCTGCTAATTGCAGGCTGATTTTCAAGTGCAGAAACTCCTGAGTGTGAGGCTCCAAGTCCCGGTCAGTGACTGTGGGCGGAGCTTCAAGCCTGGCGCCCTCCCCAGTCCATGTACTCAGCAAACTCCGTCTTCTCAGGACTGGGCATGTCTACAGGATATTCTTTGTCCAATGAGTTTGTGTCCATTAACGGTGATGTACGAAGACTCTGACATCTTCCTAAAACTCCTTTTCATGTATTTCCTTCAAATGCCTCCTTCCCCGTGTTTTCATAGTTGTTTTTTTTAATTGTGCTGGATTTCTCTCCAGTTGCTGCCACATGACAGGGCACTTCTCAGTCATTTCTCCTTGTGCCCTTCTAGAAAGAACTTCAAAAAATTCTGGGTGGTCGTGGCCTTTGGGGACCCATTTTATTGGATACATTGTTTTAAAATGACCTTCTCAAGCCTGGGGTCTGCTGCTGTCGACCACTTTCCCGACCCCCTTCCCTGGGCAGGGTGACGAGCGCATTCTCACTGTCTCTCCGGCCTCGTGCCCTGCTCTCCTCAGCCACACCCACCAGGCAGCCAGGCCGCAGGCGGCAGGAGGCTGCCCGCAGGGCTGACCAGGTAGGACCCCAGAGCCAGGCCTGCATCAGGGCCCACTTGTGCCAAGTGGACGACAGAGTCAGAGCCAGGTTCAAGGGTCCAGCCCTGCTGTCTGACCTTGCTCCATCGCCTCTGGGCCTGGGTGGGATCGTACTCTGCAGGGCTGTTTGAGACGAAATGAGATGACAAGGGCAGAGCCGGGCCCCCGCGGGGATGGTGCACAGTAGTCGGCATTGTCACGAGGAGCCGGCCCGGGGGGCCATGCCAAGCAGCACCAGAGGCCGACCTCAAACGCAGACCTGCTTTGGGGCGGAGGACCTGCTGCTCTCGGATGCCAAGCTTCGGATGCACTGGGATTGGTCCCTGGACCTCTTCTCCAGCCCCCCTTCCCTTCTGGAACCTTCTCTTGGCTCATGGCTCTAAAGCACCATGTGCTCTTGCCCTCGGATCTCCAGCCCAGCCTCGCCCAGGAACTCCACTCCTCCCATTAGAATGCAAATTCCGTGATGAAACATGGTTTTGTTGGCATCCCCACCTTCAGCACCTAGAACAGCACCTGGCTCAGGCAGGGGCTCAGGAAATGCTGAGTAAACACAGGAAGGCCATCCGTGGCCTGAGAAACTCCTCAGAACCAGGAGTCAGAACAGTCAAACCACCGGGCACTGAACTGGCTGTCTCTGTTTTCATCCACTAGCGAATAGTGGGAGGTGTTTTTAAATCCTGACTCCAGGATATTTTTCCCATTGATTTTTTTAGAGAAAGTGGAAGGGAAGGAGGGAGGAGTAGAAGGAGAGAAGAGAGAGGAGAGAGGAGAGAGGAGAGAGGAGAGAGGAGCGAGAGGGAGGGAAGGAGGGGGGGGGAGGGAGAGAGAGAGAGAGAGAGAGAGAGAGAGAGAAGCATTGATATGAGAGAGACACATTGAGTAGTTGCCTCCCACATGTACCCCTGGGCCGGGATCGATCCTGCAACCCAGGTATGTGCCCTTGACCAGGAATTGAACCCGTGACCCTTTGGTTCCTGGGCCGACACTCTAATTACTGAGCAACACCGGCCAGAGCAGAATGGAAGATATTATTGAGCATCGGTGACTTTTCTGGCTCCTTCACTGCGCCTCAGGCACTGAGTTCTGGGTGCCTTCTCTCTGTGCAGGGTGGGGCTCAGAAGCAAGGGCTCCGGGCTGGAATCTTGCCTCTGGCACTTCCCAGCCCAGTGACCTTATCTGCCTCAGTTTCCTCCTCTGCAAAACCAGTGATAGCTGTGCTGCTCACAGGTCCTTAAGCTGCAACTTGACATAGGCCAGGGGCTGAGAAACCGAATTACGTGCCATGTTAGTGGGAACCCCCCCACCCCCCCGGGCGTACCTGCACATTTTGGTGGTAGAATTGAAAAGTTTCACTTTGTAGCCGCTGTTGGAGATGAGCAGGAAGAGTTCCTTGGTGAGTGGTGGGTACCAGATCATACAGGTGGGGTAGTTGCCCTGGTCAGTTTGGTGAATGTCCAGCACTTCCAGGTGGTTTTTGTAGCTCCCGAGAAGATTATACTCGATCTGCAGAGGCGCCCAGACGGACAAACATGAAGACGGAGCTGGATGAAGTCAGCCCAAAGTCCTATTCTAAGAGAAGACTGGGCTAGACCCTTAACCTAATAAGCTACCAGGAGGGAGTATTCATTACGAGCAAAATGAGGAGTAAGCACTCTGAAACATGATGCCATTTAATGCTCACCACTCCCCGGCCAAGTAATACTGCTGTGCCCATTTTACAGATGAGAAAACCGATGTTCAGAGAGGTTCAGGGGCTTGCCCAAGGTCACACAGTTAAGAAGTGTAAAGTGACACCCAGGAAAACACACATGGTGTCAAAATAAGCCAAAGGAAAATCATTTGGGCAAATATAAAAAAGACCCCAAGTAAAATTCCCTTTATTAACCTTCGGTCGAGAATATGTTTGTATATTTTCAGAAAACAACTCCAAGACCATGTGGATTCCTGCAACAGAGAGGAATTATCAGGAATGCTCCAGCCATGAAGACAAGAGGAAAAACAATCCAGAGATGAAGGACGCTGACGTCACTTTGCCATGCTAGCAGTCAGCAGCTGTGCGTCGCTGCAGGTTGCCCAGGATCAAACCAGAGAGGGTCGGACCTGCATTGCCACCATTTGTCCACCATCCAGAACTGAAATATCATTGCTGACACCTACACATAAGGAACTGTCGGACATTGAAACTTGGACTCAGAACTCTAAAATTTTTTGGGTTAAAAAAAAAAAAAAAAAAGAGGGGGGAAAAAAAAAAAAAAAAAAAAAAGAAGTGTAAAGTGAGGATTCAAATTTAGGTTCAGCTGACTCCAAAACCTGAACTCTTACAGTTACTAGTATGTTATACGGCTTCCTTTCCCCATTATCTTGGGGGTAGGACAGGGGTGGGCAAACTTTTTGACTCGAGGGCCATAATGGGTTCTTAAACTGGACCGGAAGGCCGGAACAAAAGCATGGATGGAGTGTTTGTGTGAACTAATATAAATTCAAAGTAAACATCACTACATAAAAGGGTACGGTCTTTTTTTTTTTTTAGTTTTATTCATTTCAAACGGGCCGGATCCGGCCCGCGAGCCGTAGTTTGCCCACGGCTGGGGTAGGAACTCATTCATACCTAAGTCTCAGCACCTGATAGTCATAAATCAGCGGCCTGCTGAATTTCACCCACAGGTAGGTTTTGGTGGCCAAACCAGGATGGAAGGATGGATGGATGGATGGATGGATGGATGGATGGATGGATGGGTGGATGGATGGGTGGGAGGATGGGTGAATGGGTGGATGGGTGAATGGATGAGTGGATGGATGGATGGATGGATGGATGGATGGATGGATGGAAGGATGGATGGGTGAATGGATAGAATAAAGGAAGGAAGGGGAGGGAAATTAAGATGAGGGACAGATACACAGACTGACTGATTTCGAATGCTCTTGGCTTGATCATGTAACATTACATTTGACGCTGTCCCTACCTTTCCCTCTTATCTCACATTCTCCGTGAGGTGTCACATTTGGGGAGGAAGTGTCAGTGAGTGTCAGCTTTCCAAATTACACTGAGAGGCGAGGGCGGCCAGGTTTCCCTGCTGTGGGAACACCACCTCCCTGCCGCCGCCGCACCGCTTCCCAGAAGCCTCCTCACTCAGGACACGAGTCGGAGCCGTGTTAAGACCAAGTACCAACTCGGAGAGGTTTGCACTACTTCTCGGTACATTCATTGTCTCCAACAAACACACACAGTGGGCCGGGGTCTGTGCCGGACACCAGGGATGGAACAAGAATGAGACGCATGGGTGGCCCGGTGAACGAAAACGACCCAGCTCACCAGGAGCCGGTCTCTCCCGAGGCTCAGCAGTCTGGGCTCATTGCTATCCAGATGAACCCCGAACAGGAGACTCCGAATGCTTTGGCGATGAGAACGCAGCCTTGCCAGGTATTCCCAGACCCTCTGACTATTCCTGACCTTGACCATGTAAACGGCCACAGTAAAATTTGCATCCTGCATATGAGCAAAAGAACAGAAATTATTCCTTTTCACAGTTTTTAACTTAAAAAATAATCTTTATTGCCCTGGCCAGGTAGCTCAGTTGGTTAGAGCGTCGTCCCAGTGTGCCACGGTTATGGGTTCAATCTCGGTCAGGGCACATACTAGTACAAGAAGCAACCAATGAATGATAAACAAGTGGAACAACAATTTGATTGCCCTCTTTCTCTCTCTCTCTCTCTCTCTCTCTCTCTCTCTCAAAAGCAATTTTAAAAAATCATCATTATGTTTTTTGTACCAATTTTGCTGTTAGAATATTTTGTCTGAAAATAAATCTTTGTCTATCGGAGCAAGTGGTAAAATGATGCCCATTTTACAGATGAGAAAATTAAGGTTGAGAGTAGATAACTCACAAAGGTAGCGGTGTCTCTGACACCACCTCATTCTCTGTGGAAGCCTTGACTCCTTTTGCCTTTGTCTCCCCATCTCTATATCCAGCTACAAATGAAAAGGTAGACTTTTTTTCTAAAAAGTATGATGGTTGAGCCCTGGCCAGTGTTGCTCAGTGGGTAGAGTTTCGGCCCTTGAACCAAAGGGTGGTGGGTTTGATTCCTAGTCAAGGGCATGTACCTGGGTTGCAGACTCAATCCCTAGCCCTGGTCAGGGGTGCATTTGGGAGGCAACTAATCAATGTGTCTCTTTCACATTGTTGTTTCTCTCTTTCTCTCCCTCTCCTTCCCTCCCTTCTACTCTCTCTAAAAAAATCAATGGAAAAAATATCCTTGGGTGAGGATTAACAAAACAAAGAAATGACTTTATTGTTCTCCTAAAAAATGACACATGCTCATTATAAAATTTTTTTTTAAAGTATCATGGATGAGAGTGACACGGTCAGAGTGGGCGAGAGTGGCCTGAAGGGACACTCAGTGGGTGTGTGGCGGGAGGCGAGCGGGGGTGGCTTCTGGCCTCTGGCAGTGCTGTGATCTGACCGGAAGGCAGGTCAGGCCGAGGCCGGAGGCGATGGGGAAGCACCGGAAGGGGTGGACTGCGGTTTTGTCGAGTGAAGACGGTTGCTTTGTCTCTTCCCACAAACATCCAGGCAGGATGAGAACGGTGCGGACGAAGAGAACTGGCAGGAAGGCAGAGGGCGAGGGCGGAGGAAATCTTCACTGGGTTTAGGAACCCTATTCATAGAGGGGAGGACGGAATCCGAGGTACGGGTGGAAGACTTTGCTTTGAGATAAAGGAGAATGTCATCTCGTCACAAAAATGAAAGGGACAGATGAAAGAATGATGCAGAGAAGGGGTCCCAAAAACTAACAAACCAAAGTAGTCGTCAGGGTCCAAGCTTAGAAGTTCTGAGGCCCTGGCCTTATTTTAAGGCAAAAGTCCCCTCACCCCACCCCTTTCCTCTTTTGATAACAGCTTTATCGAGCTATAATTCACATACAACGCAATTCATTTAAAGTGTACGGTTCAATGGGTTTTAGTATATTCCGAGCTGTATGTCCATCATCAAAAATCCTATATCCTTTAGCAGTTATTCTCCAACCCTCCAACCCACCTTTTTTAATGTTTTTAAATTGATTTCAGAGAAGAAGGGAGGGAGGAAGAGAGAGAGAGAGAGAGAGAGAGAGAGAGAGAAGCATCAATGATGAGAGAGAATTTTCGAATGGCTGCCTCCTGCATGCCCCCTACTGGGGCATGTGCCCTGACTAGGAATTGAACCCTGACCTCATGGTTCATGGGTCAATGCTCAACCACTGAGCTACACTAGCCAGGCCCTCTCTTTAAAAAAAAATAAAACAATAATTTTAGAGAGAGAAAAATGGGGGAGGGAGAGAGAGAGAGAGAGAGAGAGAGACTGATTTGTTGTCTCACTTATTTATGCATTTATTGGTTGATTCTTGCATGTGCCCTGACCAGAGATCAAACCCACAATCTCTGTAAATCAGACTGAGCTACCTGGGGCCAGTGCCTCTTTGGTTTTAAATAAGGTTGCTGAGCCACACAGAACAGTCTCAGCAAAAACACTCACCGCGGTTGCCATGTACTGGGAGTTATGGGAGAAGCTGATGTGCGTCACGCTGGTCCTGGAATAGTTGAAAGGCTCTGGGATTCCATTTTCCAAGGACATTGCATCAAGAATGTAAACTGTCCCCTCGGTGAAGCCAGCTCCAAGAAGGTCTCCTGAAATCACAAGCCAGAGAACAGTGGTCGAAAGGGCTTCTTGCCTGGCTGGTGGGGCTCAATGGTTGAGTGTCGACCTATGAACCAGGAGATCACAGTTCGATTCTAGGACAGGGCACATGCCCAGAGATTGTAGGCTTGATCCCCAGCGTGGGGCGTGCAGGAGGCAGCTGATAAATGATTCTCTCTCGTCATTGATGTTTCTCTCTCTCTCTCCCTCTCCCTTCCTCTTTGAAATCAATAAAAATTAAAAAAAAATTTTTTTTAAAAAAGGGGCTTCTTTCATTTAAGAAACACAGACTCCGTGCCAGGCCTTGTCCTAGGTCCCCAGGAGACAGTGACGAGTGACAGACAAGGTCCCTCATCGGAGAAAACCACCCCGAAAAGATGACAGCCTGGGAGGGACGCTCAGAGACCCTGAGCACCCAGGGCTGCAGGAGCCGGAGGGAGAAGGCATCTCGTCCGGCCAGGCCAGGCGGAGGGAGTCGGGTCAAGGCCAGCTCCCAGCAGCCGTGACAGCCACAGCCACAGCCATTGTGTCTGCTTCGCTCTGGAACCTGAGAGAGGCGGATACAACGAAAATACCTTCGGGGTTGTAGGTCAGACTCTGGATTCCAAGCCCCTTCTCGAAGACTCTGCTGAAAAGGTATCTTTTCTTTTTATAATCCCACACTTTGATCATGCCACAGGAACTCCCGATGGTGATGAGGGGCTGATACGGGTGGCAGGAGATGGCACAAATGGCTTCCTTGGGCTCTATGAGTAACTTCTCCAGCTTGGTCTCATCTGCCTTTAAGTGGTACACGATCGCATCAGATGTTCCGATGATAAAATTCCTGTTTGCCAAGGAGAGACCAAACAGCATCAGCGTTTGCAGGGAACGGGCGCGCCAGCCAGCCACGCTGCTTCTAAATTGCCCATGAAACGCCTCTGTCGTCTGTAATTTAGTGACATTATTAACCCACCGCCTCCAAAAATATACCACGCACCCCCAACAGCCTCCATTTGCAAGTGAAAAAGCCCACATTTCTCCATGGAAATTGAGTCATTAGGCATGCAGATGGACAGTCGTTTGTACAATTAGCTAATCTGCACATGCAAATATTCATTTGTGTATGCAAATATGGAGCTGGGCGCGCACACACACAGCCGCGCCTGCAGATACCACCAGGGTAATTGAGCAGGCTCACAGATAATTCCGTCTTGAAATGTTATGGCTATTAATTATCAAAGGCCTTTAACTGCGCTGCGAGGACAAACTCGGCTTCCAGAAGAGACCAGCCTGCAAGCGAAGGGCTCCAGGCGGAGCAGAGCTCAGAGCTCAGGGATAAGCCCTTGCAGCTTCCAGTCACGGAAGATTCTTCATATGAAATTAATGTTTCATTTTTAAAAATGGGTCGGAATTATAATCAGCCAGAGAGACCCATCTACCAGCTATGCTCAGGACTGACCCGGAGGGCCGGTTCCCTCACTTCCCATCCCAGGAACGGGGTGGACACTCCCGGCCCATCCTTTCTGACCATTCAGATGACTAGATTCAGGAACAACGTACCTTATGACAAAAATGTCACCTTTTAAAGTGCAGTCTGAAGGGTAGTTTGATTTCTCGGTAGGAGGCGTCGCCAGGGTCTTCGAGAAGGACAGCGTTCTTATGGAGCTCAGTTTGAAGTTGCTGAACCAGTTCATGATGGACAGGGTGCGATCGTAGAACTTAATGTTACCCTTCACGTCACCTGTGACAATATAGCTGAAATGGAGAATAACATCAGTTTGTTAAAGAATAGTAATAAGAACCGTCTATATTTTTAAACATTTTTTTTCAAATAAAAAAAATTGTTGTTGGTTGGAGAGAGAGGAAGGGGCGGGAGGGAGAGAGAGAAATACTGATTTGTTGTTTCACTTATTTATGCATTTATTGGTTGCTTCCTGCATGTCCCCTGACTGGGGATTGAACCTGCAACCTTGGCGTATCAGAATGATGCTCCAGCCAACTGAGCTACCCAGCCAGGGCCTCAGTACCACGTACTGAGCACTTAATTGTATGTCAGGCTCTGGATTCCTTCTGGGCATTGTAAAAACTCCACTTAATGCTCTGCCCTGTGAGGCTGGTTTTGCTCTTATCCCCTTTACAGCTAGGGAACCAAGGCTCAGAGAAGTTCAGAAACCTGCTCAAGGCCTGGGGTTGCCAGATATAGCAAATAAAAATGCAGGAAGCCCAGTTAAATGTGAATTTCAGACAGACAATGAGTCATTTTTGAGTGTAAGTTCGTCCCCAATATTGTACAGAACATACTTATGCCTGGCAACCCTTTCAGGTCCACGTGGTGAGTGAGACCATGCAGGGGTCCAGGTGTGTCCAACACAGTCGCTGCTCTCCGAGACCAGCCCCAGTGACTTACATTCTCCGCCTTGAGACTGCAGACAACCACAGAGGCTGTCTACCGGCCTTTCAAGATCTCACAAGCTGCAAATGGGGTACCAGCCACTTTATAAGAAGGCACTGCTGCCCGGCCAGTATTGCTCAGTGGTGGAGCGTCGACCCAGGTACTAAGAGGTCACGGTTCGATTCCCGGTCAGGGCACATGGCTGGGTTTCCGGCTCCATTTCCAGTAGGGGGCGTGCAGGGGACAGCAGATCAATGATGTTTTGCTTGTTGATGTTTCTCTCTCTCTATCCCTCTCCCTTCCTCTCCCTAAAACACAATTAAAACATTTTTTTTTTAAAAAAAGAAGGCATTGCTGTTAGAGCGACTGTAAAACCCTGTCCAATCACCACAGCCAAAGGCAAAGATGCTTTTATTTCCAGTCCTCAGATCCATCCCTAATGGGCTTGCTTTTTAAAAAAAAATTTTTTTTTCAAATTCATTTTAGAGAGGAAGGGAGAGGGGGAGAGAGAGATAGAAACATCAATGACGAGAGAGAATCATTGATTGGCTGCCCCTGCACACCACCTACTGGGGATCGAGCCTGCAACCCAGGCATGTGCCCTTGACCGGAATCAAACCTGGGACCCTTCAGTCTGCAGGCCGACGCTCCATTCACTGAGCCAAACCCGCTAGCTCAGTGGTTCTCAACCTTGGCTGCCCATTAGAATCACCTGGGAATCTTTTTAAAATCCTGATTTCTGGGCCTCATCCTCCGGAAATTCTGTTTCTTTGTTAGTAGTAATGTTGTGGCCCCACCCCATAACAAAGAAACAGAATTTCCGGAGGATGAGGCCCAGAAATCAGGATTTTAAAAAGATTCCCAGGTGATTCTAATGGGCAGCCAAGGTTGAGAACCACAGAGCTAGGGCAAGGACTTGCTTTTTTTAAGCCTCTGACAGAATTCTAATCACGGGGGAAGTTGAGGGGGAGGGGGAGTGAGTTTCCTCTTATATACCCAAAGTGATTAAATGAGGTTTCTGATTAATAAGCAAGGCAGGTGGGCTGTGTAATTGGCGAAAACATCTTTCACTGCCCTCTGCTGGACAGAAACGGCAAAGCAGGCCACGCGTTTTCAGAGAGCTTTCCTGGCTGGGTTTCATTAACGTGGGGGGAACCGAGGCCTGGTCTTTCCTGGGCCCTAACCCCCGACTAATACAAGGTTGATGGCATCGTGACTGCAATTCTACCACTGATCTCTTCGCACCGCCGAGTGAGGATGACAATGGCGTTTCTCTGTAAACCTGCACCAGGGCCTCAGCGTCTGCTGGACAAAAGAAAGGAGAGGGGACTGGCCCGTCTGGCTCAGTGAATCTCTGGTCCAGGGCAGGTAACCGGGCTGCAGGATCGATCCCCCACGCTGGTTGGGCCGTGTGCAGGAGGCAAACAATCAGTGTGTCTCTCTCACATCAATGTTTCTCTGTGTGTGTGTGTCTTTCCCCCTCCCTTCCACTCTCTAAAAATCAATGAAAGAATATCCTCCAGTGAGGATTTTTTAAAAAAAGGAAAATAAAAGGGAAAGCAAAGCAGCTTTCAGAAAGCAGGTGGCCCAGGGGCTCCAACCATGCGGGCAGGGTCCTGGTCTTCAGGGGATTTTCTCCATCCTTTTGGGAACTTCTCTCTCACACCAATGAGGACTATTTGGCTCAGAGCTCCCCTGTGCCAGACAGTGAGCTAAGAGTTTTACATGCCTTGTCTCCCTAACTCCTCATGAAATCACTCGGAGATGGATACTATTGTGCCCATCTTACAGATGGAAAAACGGAAGCTTGACGAAGTTCAGTTCTCTGCCCACTCAGCAAGATAGGGATGTATCTGGAATGGGAACACTCTCTCTTTCTCTGAGGCGAAGGCTTTTTATAAAAAAAAATTTTTTTTTTTATTGATTTCAGAGAGGAAGGGAGAGGGAGAGAGAGATAGAAACATCAATGATAGAATCATTGATTGGCTGCCTCCTGCAGGCCTACTACTGGGGATCCAGCCTGCAACCCAGGCATGTGCCCTTGACCGGAATTGAACCTGGAACCCTTCAGTCCCCAGGTCAACACTCTATCCACTGAGCCCAACTAATGTCCCTGGATATATTCTATGCATATATAAAATACAGGTATACATTTAAAGGGGTTTTTAATACCTTTATAGGCCCTGGCCAGGTAGCTCTGTTGGTTAGAGCATCATCCCTATATGCCAAGATTATGGGTTTGATCCCCGGTCAGGACACATACAAGAATCAACCAATGAATGCATGAATAAGTGGGATAACAAATCGATGTTTCTCTCCCTCCCTTCCTCGCTCTCTAAAAATCAATAAAATTTGATAAAAGACTTTGATGGTCTTTTTAAGAAATGAAATATCCACACTAATAAAAGACAAAGATGCTAATTGACTGTACCTTCCGTGGGATCAGGCCTGCCCTGTGCGACCTGTAGAGCCATAACCTCTCCATCGGCCCTGCCCCGAGTGTGACAGTGGTGGCGCCCCAACCCCCTGATCGGCCCTGCTCTGTGGGTGATAGAGGGTGGCGCCCCAACCCCCCTCCACGGGCCTTGCTCTGTGTGTGACAGGGTAGAGCCATAACCTCTCCATCGGCCCTGCCCCGAGTGTGACAGTGGTGGCGCCCCAACCCCCTGATCGGCCCTGCTCTGTGGGTGATAGAGGGTGGCGCCCCAACCCCCCTCCACGGGCCTTGCTCTGTGTGTGACAGGGTAGAGCCATAACCTCTCCATCGGCCCTGCCCCGAGTGTGACAGTGGTGGCGCCCCAACCCCCTGATCGGCCCTGCTCTGTGGGTGATAGAGGGTGGCGCCCCAACCCCCCTCCACGGGCCTTGCTCTGTGTGTGACAGGGTAGAGCCATAACCTCTCCATCGGCCCTGCCCCGAGTGTGACAGTGGTGGCGCCCCAACCCCCTGATCGGCCCTGCTCTGTGGGTGATAGAGGGTGGCGCCCCAACCCCCCTCCACGGGCCTTGCTCTGTGTGTGACAGGGTAGAGCCATAACCTCTCCATCGGCCCTGCCCCGAGTGTGACAGTGGTGGCGCCCCAACCCCCTGATCGGCCCTGCTCTGTGGGTGATAGAGGGTGGCGCCCCAACCCCCCTCCACGGGCCTTGCTCTGTGTGTGACAGGGTAGAGCCATAACCTCTCCATCGGCCCTGCCCCGAGTGTGACAGTGGTGGCGCCCCAACCCCCTGATCGGCCCTGCTCTGTGGGTGATAGAGGGTGGCGCCCCAACCCCCCTCCACGGGCCTTGCTCTGTGTGTGACAGGGTAGAGCCATAACCTCCCCATTGGCCCTGCCCTGAGTGTGACAGGGTGCAGCGCCCCAACCCCCTGATCCGCCCTGCTCTGTGTGTGACAGGGGGCGGTGCCCCAACCCCCCAATTGGCCCTACCCTGAGCGTGACTGAGGGTGGCATCGCAACCTCCTGATCCGCCCTGCTCTGTGTGTGACAGGGGGCGGTGCCCCAACTCCCCTATTGGCCCTACTCTGTGAGTGACAGGGGGGAGCTCCTCAACCCCCTGATCGGCCCTGCTCTGTGGGTGATAGAGGGTGGCGCCCCAACCCCCCTCCACGGGCCTTGCTCTGTGTGTGACAGGGTAGAGCCATAACCTCCCCATTGGCCCTGCCCTGAGTGTGACAGGGTGCAGCGCCCCAACCCCCTGATCCGCCCTGCTCTGTGTGTGACAGGGGGCGGTGCCCCAACTCCCCTATCTGCCCTACTCTGTGAGTGACAGGGGGGAGCTCCTCAACCCCCTGATCGGCGCTGCTCTGTGCGTGACAGGGGGGAGCTCCTCAACCCCCTGATCGGCGCTGCTCTGTGCGTGACAGGGGGGAGCTCCTCAACCCCCTGATCGGCGCTGCTCTGTGCGTGACAGGGGGGAGCTCCTCAACCCCCTGATCGGCGCTGCTCTGTGCGTGACAGGGGGGAGCTCCTCAACCCCCTGATCGGCCCTGCTCTGTGGGTGACAGGGTGCAGCGCCCCAACCCCCGATCTGCCCTACTCTGTGAGTGACAGGGGGGAGCTCCTCAACCCCGATTGGCCCTGCTCTGTGCATGACAGGGGGCGGCGCCCCAACTCCCCAATCAGCCCTGCTCTGAGCCTGACGAGGGGCTGCACTTAGGGATTGGGCCTGCCCTCTGCCACCCGGGAGCAGGCCTAAGCCAGCAGGTCGTTATCTCCCGAGGGGTCCCAGACTGCGAGAGGGCACAGGCCGGGCTGGGGGACCCCCCTCCCCCCGCCCCCGGAGTGCACAAATTTTTGTGCACCGGGCCTCTAGTATATATATATAAAAAAAGCTAAGCAACCGGCCAACCAGCCAACTGGCCAACCGGCCAGTAAGTATGACACACACTGACCACCAAGGGGCAGATGCTCAATGTAGGAGCTGCTGAGCGACGGCAACTTTGCAGAGTGTCCTCTCACACTCCGGACCCCTCAGGGGATGTCAGAGAGCCGGTTTCAGCCCAATCCCTGCAGGCCAGGCCGAGGGACCCCACCTGCCTGAGGGACCCCACTCATTCCACAGACGCCCTTTGAGCCCCGGCGTCACCCCAGGTATGGCCAGTCAGGAAGGAACCTCGGGAGGTTGGCTCCAAGGTGTGTCTAGCCCATCTCGCCCAGTCTCACCCCGCTGGCCACCTTCTAATTAATTTCCTTTCAATGTGCACGAATCCGTGCACTGGGCTTCTAACCATCTACGGCTACTTTTTAGTTCCGTTAATTACCTGTCAACTGTAGTAAGCACAGTGATACCCTCTTTCTGCAAGTGAACCAGTTTACAAGGCTTGATGTAGGGGAGGGTGGAGGCAGATAGCGGGGGGCGGTACACATCCCAGACCACCAGCTTCCCTTCCAGGGTGGCCGACAGGACTTGGGTTAAATTCAGGTGAAAGATGGACTGGCTGAACTTCCCCACGTGCTTGTTGAACGTCTGCATTTCAAAAGGCAGATCATGAGCTATCGTTGGTGAGACGCATAAAACAAACTGTTTACCCACACGTGGCGTTTTATAATACCGCCCTGAAATACAGTAGAAAAAGATACAAAAGTTTAAAAAGCACAAATCAATCCCTTAAAAAAACACTCCCCTGTGGATTGCCCTGGCCCAGGCAGCTCTGAAGCTCACGTGCTAAGATTGAGTGAAAGGCTGTGTATTCTGTCCGTTAAACTGTTTGCTGAAAGCAAATGCCAGAGTGGCCAACCTCTGCTCCTACCTGTTCCACTTTCCTCGCTGAGGTTTCAGAGACGGATAAAGAAACCAAGGTCTGCCGTGGGCAGAAGCACACCCCAGCCGTAAGACACCATAAAACAGTTCTCCCGGCCTCCCTGGGACCATCCATTACTCTCATCGGTGGGAGTGAAGCACTGTACACGGAAGTGTCCCTCAGGCTCCCCGTGAAGCTTGTGCTGCGTAGAACAAGGCGAGCCAGGCCTTGGAGGCAGCGCTGTCCTTGCCTGGTCACCCGGAGCGATCGCCTGTGCGGCGGAACCGGGTCCCGTCGCCTGCGCATTTCCTGACCTGAGACCCGTGTGGTCTTCGCTCAGCGAGAACCACAGGCTAGTTTTTCTGCTTCCCGTCTGCACTCCTGGTGTGACTCCCAGAAATCCCATGTCTAAGCAGGCATGCCAAGAGGAAAGAAGACGACGAGACCGACGGACATGGGAGAGATGATTCTGTCTGCAAACTCTTGTTTTTTAGATCAAATTATCAGCAAATAAATGCAGCCAGTTCCAGTTATTCGTGGCCTTAGACAACGTCTTAGAGGGGAGGTATAGGGAGAACCCAGTGCAGGGAGTGAAGCCGCTCCGCGAGGGATCAGCAAATGAAATAAATGAGAGGAACTTGCAGTCTGTCTGTCATACGACGCAGTACGTCTGCCGCCCAATTGTCTAAGATCCTAAGGTTTACCTCGTCTGGCCTGAACACAAGAGGATCAGTAAAAACAACAACAAAAAAACAACTGGTTAAGCAAGGGCACCGGGCTTTTTCTAAGAGCAGCCCCGTTTCAATACGAAGCATTTTTATTATTTCAATCTGCAGAGACTCCGTGGAGCATAACAGCCACGAATAACTGGAACTGGCTGCATTTATTTGTTGATAATTTGATCTAAAAAACAAGAGTTTGCAGACAGAATCATCTCTCCCATGTCCGTCGGTCTCGTCGTCTTCTTTCCTCTTGGCATGCCTGCTTAGACATGGGATTTCTGGGAGTCACACCAGGAGTGCAGACGGGAAGCAGAAAAACTAGCCTGTGGTTCTCGCTGAGCGAAGACCACACGGGTCTCAGGTCAGGAAATGCGCAGGCGACGGGACCCGGTTCCGCCGCACAGGCGATCGCTCCGGGTGACCAGGCAAGGACAGCGCTGCCTCCAAGGCCTGGCTCGCCGCGCTTCTACTGGCTCTTAAAAATCTAAATGCCCAATATCTTTTCTTACAATATGCCTTTATAGATTTCAGAGAGAGGAAGGGAGAGGGAGAGAGAGAGAAACATCGTGATGAGAGGAGAATCATCGATCGGCTGCCTCCTGCACGCCCCACGCTGGGGATCAAGCCCACAACATGGGCATGTGCCCTGACCAGGAATAGCACCGTGACCTCCTGGTTCATAGGTCGATGCTCGACCACTGAGCCACACTGGCGTGGCTCAATATCTTCATTACTCTGAACACTGAGCAGCCAGCTACTCTGTGTTCAACTACTCTACTTACGTGACTCCATACTAACTGCCCTTCTTTGTCATATGTGCACGCATAGTTTACTGAAGCCATCACTTTCTGGGGGGATTATGTTCTCATGGGAATAAACTTCCTTTTCTATAATATTTTATTTTTAATAGCACATCCGTTATTTTCAACTGACAAATTCAATATGGTAAAGGACCCAACGAAAGTATTTTTATATATTATTTCCCTATATTAAGACATGCAAAGAGCAGCCCAAAATGACTAAGCTCACACGTACATGTTTATTCTCCACAAAACCAGATGGGGAAAAAATAAATATAAATAAATTAAAAAGCGACGGACATACTCACTTTTTCTGTTAAAAGTGGGGCACTGTGAATAAGTATCTCTCTCTCTTCATACTGGTAAGTACAGAAAAAAAAACAAACAAAAAAACATCACTACTAAAACAAAGACCTGGTTTCCCAAAGAACTAACTACATAACAACAAAATCGGAACAAACGCGTCTAAACAGGCTCAGAGTTTTGCAGCTTCTACAGGTAAGAGGACTGCTGCCTCCAGGGACAGCCAGAAACATTCAGCCAGAAGAGCAAATAGTGAAGAATTGCCACAAATGATTGCGACCTGAAATGGTGGTCAGTGCGAGTGGATTCCACCTGTATAAGGCTCTCAAGCTATCACAAATACCTGAAGTAATGATCATCGCTGAAAATCAGCCACGCAATGTGTTTTTTGTTATTTACTGGCATCTTTTATTGAGGGAAAGTGGACATCACATAAAATCAGCCACTGGCCCTTTTAAAGTGTACAACTCAGTGATACTTAGCCTGTGAACAATGCTGTGTAACCATCATTCCTCTCCCCAGAGGGAAGCCCCTGCCCATTAAGTGGCCCTGCCCCAGCCCCTCCTCCGGCCCCGAGAACCACTATTCTGGATCCTGTCTCGATGGGTTTACCTATTCTGGACATTTCACATAAGTGGAATATTCCATGTACACCACGTGACTTTTTGTGTCTGGCTTCTCTCTCACTCAGCGTCACGTTTTCAAGGTTCATCCACTGCGTAGGATGAAATCAGTTCTCCATTCCTTTTAATGGCTAAATAATATTCCATTGTATAGATGGACCACCTTTTGTTTATCCATTCATGTGTTGATGGACATTCGGTTTGGTTCAACTTTTTGGTTATTGCAAATGTCGCTGCTGCTGTGAACACCTGTGTGTATTTTTTGTCTGTTTTCAATTCTTTTGAGGCTATACCTAGGAATTGCTGACTCATATGGTAATTTTACGTTTAACTTCTTAAAAAAAATACGTTGTTATTGTTTTTTTGAGAGAGAGAGAGGGAGGGAGAGGAAGGGAGATAGAAACATCCATGATAGAGAAACATTGATGAGCTGCCTCCTGCACGCCCACTACTGGAGATCGAGCCTGAAACCCCAGCATATGCCCTGACCGGAAATCAAACCAGACACCTCTTGGTACATGGGTCGATGCTCAATCCACTGAGCCACACGGGCTGGGCTATGTTTGACTTTTGATCTTGTTTTAATGTCATAATTTTGCCCTGTGTCAGTATAAATATTGCTGATCTGTTTTCTAATCCTTTCTAAAAGGCCCAAGATCTCAAAAAAACAAAAACAAAACAAAAACACCACCCTATACTTTAGACCTGTTAAATATATTCATATAGATATTTGACTTTTTACTTAAAAATTAAATAAGAGTTAAATTATCTACTTCAGAATTAATATGCTAATTTCCAATGTGACTAAAATAAATACTGTAATTAAATCAAAACATTTCAATATATTTATTGCTTCCTAAGTACATACAATATTGTTACATTACCAAAACATCTGTCCTCAAAGGATGAACATGTGTTTGTTAGTAAACTTAAAGCAAATCGAGATATTTGTACTTACCCACAAATAATATATTGCCCGTACTTTACTATTGCTCACCAATTCTTTATTATTTGTTGGATTAAAAATAAGGTAGTTCTGAAATATAAAGTATGGAGACATATTACAATAAACGATAAATTTTCTGTTTCTCTCTGGTTAAGTTAAATGTTAAAATTAAGTGAGATTTTTATTAAAATACATAACTGAATAGGAATCTAAAACAGAGCAGACATGACATTGTATAAGCAGGAGGAATATAAATACCAATCATTAAAGTTGATGGTCTCAGTGCATTCCCTTTCTTAGTCTCATTTATTATAACTCATCATCTAGGAATTAGAACAAGCAAAAGTAAACCAGCATTCACCAACAACTCTTATTCTGTGTTCTTGAGGAGAAAGGCCACTGCGTACACAGTTCTGAATCCGACAGGGCCACAGGCAGCTTGGAATGAATACAAAATATTGGAAGGAGATTCTGCTTCCTGCCAAGGTGCTGAATAGCAGGGGGACCTGGCTCCCTTCCTGAAAATCAGCCCCGCAGATCCTCTAGAAGCGAGGGAAGCGTGCAACGCAGAGACGGAACAATCCCTCAACAGAAAGTGGGAAATCCCTGGGAGACTTTCCGTGCACATCTTGAGATGGCACGGGTACAGCCTGAGATGCAGGGTTCCAGGCGTGGCATCAAGAAGCAAGTTGGACAAAGACGTTGAATGCATATATGCACAACACAGCCTATAGGGTGCTGAAGGCCTGGGG